AACAATTCTGAAGTATGCCATTTTACATTAAAAAGTTGCTTTTTTCATTACTTGAAAGGTCACATTTGATAGTGTTGGTAGTCCCCGCCCGTAACTACCCCATAAATCTCCATTACCCGGAAATATAATGGGAACAGAAAGGGAAACGAGAAAGGGAAACAAGGAACCAAGCGTGCGAACTGGTATTTTTTTATGTTTTCGCGCAGAAAGGGAAAACAGAAAAATGTGGTAGTATGAGGGTCAAAGTGCAAAACACACGAAACCACAAACCGGAAAGGGAAAACCGGGAATCAACCGCGCCACCTGGTTTTCCCTGGCGGGAGCGCTCCGCGCGCGACACTTGGCACGCACGGAGCGCTCCCGAACCGCTCGTTACGAGCGCTCCGAAGGAGCGCTCGTTAACTAGTTGCTCCCGAAACATTTGAAAGAGAATACAAAAGTAAAATGTTCTCTCAAAAAAGAATACAAAAGTAAAATGAATAAAACTTAAAATCTTGTTCCTCATGACCCGATATTCCTAATATAAGAGTGTTTTCTACACTAGTGTAGTAGTGTCAAACACGCGCTTACATTATGGGACAGAGGAAGTAGTTTTCGAGCTTCTCGTCTCAAAAGCAATAGAACTTCATATAGGTTTTGCTTCCAATGTTTTTCGGAAAGTAAGGTCTGGTGGCTTGCAATTCTGGAGCTGAAAAGAAAATGTAAAGTTATAGGTTTGCAACTGCAAATGTTATAATGTTTGGTTTGCAGTTTCCTTTAGGGTGCTTTTTCTTAAATCAAATTGGTCCACGTCAATGAAAAAAGACGAAAAATATTGTTCCTTCTGAGCCGTCCAATCAAAAGCAGATCTGATGGTCACGGAGGCAACACACGCAGACATGTCAGCTCGACATGGCAATGGGTACCCACTACCCGCAATGTTGACGGGTAAAACCCCTATTAGGGTAAGGGTTTGGGAAAGTTAAATACTCATAGGTCTGTAAATGGAAAAAAAATGCACCAAACGGATAAGCCGGGTACAGGTACAGGAAGACAATACACATACTCGTGTACCCGCCTACCCGTATATTAGCACATCTAACATGTAGGTCCCCTATATCATTCACTAACAAAAAATGGAAAACCCTAGCCTAATAGCCACAACCCACACACAAAATACTCTCCCCTCACCCATCCATTGTGTCGTCACACTCATAGAACACAAACCCCATCTTCCCATCTCGCCTCGGCTGAAATGCTAAATATGCAAGCTGAAATGGTGTGTTTTACATACTGAAATGCTGAAATTTATACATGGTAAAATGTGAATTGAAAGGTGATCGGGATGGGTATTTTTGCCCACCGTTATTACCCGCGGCTGGGTATGGGTATGAGAACAATATAAAACCGGAGGTGCAGGTACGAGTAAGAATTTAGGAGAAAAGTATTGGGACGGATACGGGTTTGAGTGAGCATTACCCGCACCGGAACCCTACGGGTGCCATGTCAGATTATCAGCCCACTGAATAGAAGCCTTTCCGTAAAAGGACGCCCATGGTTCAGGTAGACAGGTTGACATTTTCTTTTCATGAACCCAAATCAAGCATTTTGCACACATGAGTGCAAACTTGCATTGCAGTTCTTACTCAGCACATCTAAACAAAGAGCAAAGTACAGCAGAAAAGCAAACAACAAATAACGCCGATTGTATATATGATCCGATCCAAACCAGTGAAGCTGGCAAACAAAAACAGGGGAGGGAGGGAGGGAAGGAAGGATCAGAGAGTGGTCTTGGACGCCCTCCTCACCAGCACAGCCCAGCACATGATCCTGTACACCAGGAAGAAGCCCAGCATGACCCCCACGTTGACCCACCTCATGCCCTCGTCCACCCCTCTGCCCCTCAGCACGTCGCCTCCGGTGCTCAAGCACACGCCGTCGCCGTTCATGGCGTCCCCTCCCGTCCACGCCACGCACTTCTCGCTGGTGCTGCCCCCGTACTCGTTGATGAGCAGCAGGTCCAGCGGGTACCTGTACATGGACACGTAGTACATGAAGGCCCAGTACCTCGGGATGCTCTCCTTGGGTATGAAGTAGCCGGAGAAGAGGAAGAAGACGCCCAGGAAGATGCAGATGAGCGAGTTGCCGAGGATGAAGTCCGGGGACACGGCGCTGAGGAAGAGGACCAGGGAGCTGGCCATGAGCACGATGAGCCACACGGCGAGCACGAAGAACCCGAACGCGGCGAGGGAGGCGCGGAGGCCCACCAGCCAGTACACGGGCGCCGAGAAGAGGATCGCCACGGCGAGGAGGCACGGCGCGAACACGAGCGCGTTGGCGACCACGTAGGAGGACAGGCGGTAGGCGCGGCGGGAGGCCTCGCGCATCAGCACGCGCCGCTCGTGGAGGAGGATGGGCAGGGCCTCCACGGTGGAGGAGAGGAGGAAGCTCAGGCTGAAGGCGAAGAGGCCGAGCCGGAGCGCCAGGCCGTCCGGGTCGGCGCGCACGCGGAAGAAGACGCTGCCGAGGCCGAGGCCGCCGACCACTGCCTGCGCCGCCCGCGCCGCGAAGAGCTGCTGCGTGCGGTACATCGTGCGCCAGCAGCGCACTGTCAGCGCCGCCACCTCCACGGCGCGGCTGCGGTACCCGTGCTCGGGGACCTGAAGGCTGCCGTTGGCGACGCCGGGGCTTTCCCTTTCCTCCTCGTACTGGTCGTTGTCCCTGAGCATAGCGAACTTGGCGTGGTCCGCCTGGAGCTGCTCGATGACCTCCATGGCGAGCTCCAGCGGGTTGAGCTGCGCGGGGATCTTGTGGCCCAGCCTCGCCAGCGCGTCCTCGAGCGACCTGAGCGAGCCGCAGTGCGCGACGGCGCCGCGGGAGAGCAGCAGCAGCGACGAGATGTAGCCGAGCATGCGGTAGCTGGGCTGGTGGATGCTGAGCACCACCACCTGCCGCCGCGCGCAGGCCACCTCGTGCAGCAGAGCCAGCACGTCCATGGCCGATCGGCTGTCCAGCCCCGACGTGGGCTCGTCCAGCAGCAGCACCGGCGGGTCGTGCACCATGTCCACCGCGATGGACACCCGCTTACGCTCGCCCCCGGACACCCCGCGGGACGACGACATCGCCTCGCCGCCGCCGCCGCCGACGTAGCTGTCGGCCACCTCGGACAGGCGCAGCTCCTGCATGAGCGCCTCCACCCGCTCGTGCCGCTCCCGCGCGGTCACGGAGGAGCCGAGCCTGAAGCGCGCGGCGAAGAGGATGGTCTCGCGGACGGTGAGCAGCGGCAGGAGGTTGTCGTCCTGCGTGACGAAGCCGCACGTCCGGCGCAGCTGCGCGCGGGAGGTGACGGCGTGGCCGTTGATGCGCACGGTGGGCGGCTTGGCTATCTCGGAGCCGGTGCCGCGGCCGGACAGGATGCGGAGGAGCGTCGACTTGCCGGCGCCGCTGGGGCCCACCACGGCCAGGATGCTGGAGCTGGACGCGGTGAAGGAGACGGAGTTGAGGAGGCCCTCGGCCTCGGCGGCCGGGGGCGTGGAGGAAGACAAGAACCTCGGGAGGAGACCGGCGTTGGCGCGGCGCGGCGCGGGGCAGGAGAGGTTGGTGACGGCGAGGGTGTACTCCGGAGGGGAGGGGGGGTAGAAGGAGAAGGACGGCGACGCGGAGTCCTGCGGCGACGACGAGGACGCCGACGTCGATAGGAGGAGCGCCGGGTCCAGCTCCGACGACAGGTCCTGATCCATGGCTGCGGGCGAGGCAAGTGCGCGTGAGAGGGGTCGATGTGTGGATTGTGAAAGCAGTAGATGAGCGGGAAACAGCTTGAGAAACTACAAATAGCCTCGACAATTAGCTCTCTGAATGAGGCAGTACTGAAGTTTTCTTGAACGTGTAGTGTACTCTTGCACGCACGCCACCATTCACCATAGGTTGAGATTGTTCGTAGCTAGCTAATGCGCTTCTAGAACAGAGGCAATGGTGCTAAGCTATTTTCACACCGGTTACAACTATAAATGTTAGTAATTCTTGGTGATCTGAAGGGTACTAAGATCTTCTAGTAGGTGATCGCCGGTCAAGGTGGCTGCTAGGAATGGAAGGCAGAAGCGAGCAAAGAGTGACGGAAATGGTGTCTGTATGGGTGAGGGGGCGTTGCGACTTGTGAGCTACTGTGACCTAACTGAATGTTGGTGTCATTTGTGTTGTGTGATGTGTCTTGGCGGTTGGACCTAACCGCGCGCTTAACACCAAATCTAAATCGGCTCTTGTTTCTTGACGTGAGGTCGGGGTACATACTGACTTCTCTTCCAACTTGGGCTCCTGGCTACACCCAGATTATGTTGTCGACGACACCACACTCCGCAGAATCGAAGAGCAAACGCATATGCCATCGTCGGTAAAATGCAAGGAAGGGAAACATCGATCACCGCCCAACAAACCGCTGAGGTGGACGAACAAATGCGCTCCTTTCCTCTCCACTGTACAAAATGGTAGCGAGAAGAGAATGCATGTACACTGATCAGCATCACCTCCACGCGACCTGAGTTTTTTCCCGAAGACTTGGATAACTGGAAAGTATGCCATACATATGTGCAGTTTACAACAAAACTGGATGAAACAAAATGAAGGCAGGCAGGCAGGATAGTCGAAATTAAAAAATGACAAGGGCACTCAGCACAATGAAAATAAAGCTTAACTCTTGCATGGCTACTTCGCATCTCAATCTACAATTAGCATCCAAAATGTTCTGCGCCCGTTATCTCTGGCTCGGCTTTTGGACCTATATATTCGTGGATCAATGGAAAATTAGGAAGAACAAACTCTAAATTGGTGTGCTTGCTTATGCATTTACAGGGCAGATTAGCCGGCTGCCACGAACCATTTACATCACTTCTCCTTGGGTAATCTACTTTCCATACAAGAAAAAGGAGGAAGAGGGTGTAAAAGAAAATGCAAGCCCACATTTTCCAAACAGCAGCCCTCTTTCTTTCAGGCCCTAATTAACCTCGCAACCAAACGCATGCTCTATGTCAGTGAGGTACATCACTATCAATACTGGCGACTGATTTGTCCACCACACGAACGTTATACAGCTCGTATACCCTCGCTCGGTTCTCTTGCCACCATTGCTCTGCTTGCGTCTCGCTGAAACGCTTCCGGCTGCACGCAGAAATAGAAATTAGTGAAAAGCTGCAAAGATCAAACTCCAGAAACTACAATAAGCTTTTAAATAGCACAAAATCTCAACAGAACATTAGTTTCTACCCGAATTCTTATAAGTGCAGCTGTACTTTTTGGTTACATATAAAGACCACACCCAAGTTGATTCTCCCTTTTACCAAAAATAGCAAAAGATGATTGGCACATGCAAGGAAAAAGTACCTGCAGTCCTGCCCATGCTGCACCACATGCATTACTATTTTGGTAGATCAATTCCACTTCTGGAAATTTCAAAATGCTATAACTTTTGGACCAAACATTGGGATTAAGATAATTTTCACCGAATGGGCCTTCGATCTCATTTTGATATGTTTCGATGAACTTCTCTCCAGAAACAACTTTGGTGCTATTGGAAACAACTTTCAGTGCCAGTTTAGCATAATGTTTGCGCTGAGATGGCTACCATGACTGCCAGGTAGCCTGGCGTTTTCTCTAAGTTGTCTACCATGACTAGTGACTAGCCTAACATTATGCTAAGTTGCCTACAGTAATTTTTAGTACAGTAAGCAACTTAGGTAGAGGGGTAGCCGGGTAGGCAACTTTGCAACATCACCAACTTTTAACAGTGCTATATGCAACTAATTACCAATGGTAGGCAATTCAGCATTACCGGAAACCATGGTATGCAACTTTCACAGTGATGTAACATCACAGGAAGACAACTTCAAAAACTGTGAACTGCTTGGTTTCCTAGATAGGCAACTCAGAAACCATGGTAGACAGCTTCTACAATACTGCATGCAGCTAATTAGTAGCGATAGGCAACTTTCACAAAACAGGAAGTTGCTTCTTATAGCACTAAAGCACTAAAGTTGCTTCCTATAGTAGCAGTAAAATTGTTTCTGGTAAAAGTCTGTCAAAACGTACCAATATGGGATCTAGTTTCGGAGAGCAACTTGCGAGGAAACTATGGGTGAAAACGGATCTTAATTACACGCTTGGTTCGAATGTTACAGCTTTTTAAAATAACTGTATTGAAATTAATTGGACAGGTTTTATACGTGGGGTGTGTGTGTTTGTGTGTGGAAAAATATCCGCTGGAGGACCAGACATGTTTTCCTTTTTTGTCAGGTGGGGCCCGGTACTTTCATTTTAAGTGGTGTTTGCTCGCGCTGTTTGCTCACGGCTACTAATGAACCAACGGCTGCCACCTAGACACGTCCTAGTTTCTAAGCGGGTCGACTTTACGAAATCATTGCAATTTTTCTTTGATCCTTCATGTCCAGCAGACAAAAAATGTGTATGAAAATGAGTCTATAAAAATACAAATACAAATTCTTATATCTAGAATTAGTTACTCCCTCTGTTCACTTTTGTAAGTCGTTTAAGACAGCTGAAATTGAACTGTTGTAGGTGCTGTCTTAAATGTCTAAAAGGTCTTACAAAAGTGAACGGAGGAAGTATATAATTAATCTGTGAATAACTTCATACTTAAACAGGTTGTCATACAGCTACACCTACACAGAACAATAATTTGTTCTGAATAACTAAAGAATCTTATACGATAGACCAGAAAAAAGGTCAGTTGCTATACTACCTCACATCAAATTAACAAAGTGCTGAACATTGTCTGACAGTCTACACTAATCAAATGTATAGATAATGTGCCCATAAACATCCAATAGACAAGTCCTTCAGCTGATTTATAGTTGCATTTTGAATGGGAATGAAGGAATTTACCTGAACCGTACCCTCCTAAGATCTCTAGCCCCTCCAGGTAGGGCAGTAAGGGTGATGTAGACCCCTGGTTCATCTTGCTCTACCCATTCAGACTCAGGCTTAGAGTCTGAATCGGGCTGTCTGGTTCCGTTCTTGCCAACTTCCAGGTGAGTCTTATTTCTAACTGAACTTGGTCCATTAGAAACAATCAACCCATTAGACCCGTTCAAATATGGCTCTCCTGAATTTCTTGGGCTACCTAAATTCTCAGTTGCCATTGATATGTCATTAACAGGCACTCCAGAAAGTGGTAGCAGTCTACTGTGCTTAACTGCCCCTGCCCCTGCTCCTGCTCCTGCTCCTGCTCCTTCAGGTAGCTTCTCTGCCATACCCTTCAACTATGGTAGAAAAAATAATTGTTCGCATATTAGACTGTATCATCATTCAAGTTTTAAAATCATCATTCCTGTTGTTGTTAGTTAATAGAAAACATCCCCAAACCACTTATTTTGTCTGCACCCTTTGCTACTCCACTAAAGTAGTATGGTTGCCTTATTTAGTTCCATAGTACATGAACATCATTTAGATAAGTCACAGGCTCAAAACCCAGAAGAGTTATGAGCTGCTTGGTTACGTCAAAGGAAGCAAACTGCCTTTGACCAATCTACAGAGTTGGTTTTTAGCCATTCAATTTCATCAGATTTGGTGAAAAAATGTACTTATATTGTTATTTTTTGGATGTTTGTACAGTAGGTTCTGGCTGTAATATAAGAAAACAACATCCTCACAGATAAGGAATCTTACTTGTGCAGTGAGCGACTTGATTACTTCTTTTGCAGCTTTGCACTTCGCAGTTTCCTCCCCTGCAATGGAAATAGCTTCCTTTAACTGTTTAGTTGTTCGCTCCAATTCAACTTCCAGTAGATGGGACTTCCGGGTAAGATTTTCCACCTGAAATATTGAACTTGATTAGAACCTCCAGAAGTAAACAAACTCTCACAAGTTACTGTCATAATAATGGTCTATCAGTCTACAAAGAAAACTACTGTGATAATAATGGTCAGTTCCTGAATATCTTTCTACCTTGCTACTGTGACTGGACACTGGGCCAGTCATAAAATAAAGAGAGCAGAAGGAAAAACAGTAGCGTGTACAAACTTCTTTACTGTCATGTGAGTTTATGCCAGATATTTTGAGTTTCCATTTAGGAGTTGATGGTTTCATACGACTGCTTCATCGAGTTACAGTTAGAGAATGATACCAATAATGCATAGAATCATACTACTTACTTATAATGGACACAAGTTAGAAATACCGATTGAATAGAGAGAACATCAAGATCTGTACCTGAGATCTCAAATGTATAACCTCTTGGCTTACACTATCCTTTATTGGCTTTGCACCATCTACAACAACTCTAGGAGATGTTAGACCACCCAAGGTAGGTGTTGGAGTTGTAGATCGAGGAGGGCTTGTTCTTCTTGAGACAGGTGAAGTTGCCCTAGAAGCAATTCTTGATCCAGGAACCGACGCTGAGAAAAATTTCTTTGATGAGCCAAAAGATTTAGAAATGTTGAGCCCGCTCCAGTGAGAGCTGCCATTTGGAATAGGGGAAACACGGCTGCTATTAAATTCAAACTTCTTATTTTTCTTTGAATATCTGCTATCCATGTTCTTGAAAGATTCCATTGATGACAATCTAGACAATTGGACATTTGATCTTGTCTCCAAATCATCATTGATAGAATCATTGAACCCTTGTAAGATAACTCCGCGCTTTGCTGAAGAATACCTATCTGTCTCAGGTCCCTTATTAAGTTTACCGTAGCAGCTATCACAGACACGGTAAGGCTTGTTTGGGTTTGGTGCTAATGAAGCCTTCAGAGATTTCTTACTGCTGCAGGAATGACAAAATACAAGAGCACAGTTGTAGCAATTATGCCGTTTTCTCCTCAAGTTAAACGGCAAGCGACATCCAGAACACATGGACTGATCAACTCCAGACACCCACTTGTGAATGCATATTGCTGCAGTGAAGTTAATTCCACAAACAACACTCCTGACTTGCTTATCTTTCAGAGCTTCAACTAGTGTAGGAGAATTCCTATCATCAGCATCACCATGTCCTAACCGGCCATTAGCACCTTTACCCCATGTATACACCTCTGTCCTGGAAGTCAAAACAGCAACATGATAAGCGCCACATGAAATCTCCTCCACAAAGTTTTTATGTAGTTTTCCTTCAACACGCGCAGGAACCATGCCATCTGCTTGTGGATTTCCAAGCTGACCATAGACAGAACTTCCCATTGTGTACACATGCCCTGAGGTTGTTAGTGCCACCGTGAAACAATGACCACAAGCTACTTGGCAAAAGTTAGGCTCAACCAAAGAAGCCACACACGTTGGGACAAGTCTTGTTTCTTTGTCACCATGTCCCAAACGACCTTTATCACCATCACCCCATGTAAATATCTTGCCAGAAGAACAATTGCTGGAACTTGAATTCCCAACCATAACTTCAACAACGGCGGCTGTGTGCCACACACCACAAGCTGCCCGAACAGTCCGTAGCCCTTTCAGGGATTCCACCTCCCTTGGTACCGAAATACTCTGACGATCTCCATGACCTAGAACTCCAAAAGAGCCATCTCCAAATGTGAATAGCTGACCTGCAGATGTTACTACAGCCGTGTGCCAAGGGCCACATGAAATAGACGAAACATGTATGCCTTCTAATGGTCCATTGAGCCTTTTGGGCATCCAATGACTGACTTCATTCCCATGACCTGAAAGTCCAAAATTAAAGGTGCCATTTCCCCATGTGTACAAATCTCCAGAGAGCGTGACTGCGCAAGTATGGTACTCACCACATGCTACTAGCTCAATGTTCATATGAGCAAGAGCATCGATAAGTTTTGGCTGGGGCACGTCACAGTCCACACCATGACCAAGACGCCCACCTGACTCCTCACCCCAAGAGTAGACCTCTCCCTGCTTAGTGACAAGTGTAGCATGCCTTCCTCCACATGAAATGTTCTGCACATCAAGCCTTCCAGCAAACTCCAATGGCTTCGGTAAAAGACAATCCATCTTTGCACCCGAGGAACTTCCAACCCTTGAATTGCCACCACCAAGAATTCCCTCCCCAGTTCCCTCTCCCCAAATGAAAACATCACCTAGAGCATCACCATCATCATGACCAGAACCATGACTTGATGAACTGACAGCACTTGATAAACTAACTCGGAAAGCATCCATTGGGATGCCCCTCGAGTTCCCATTTGTGTTATCTGAGTGCCCAGAAGACACAGAGTGAACTGATCCAACATTAGAATCCGATGGGAAGAAGGGTCTAGGTGGGGCTGCATATGATACAATGTCAGAGAAGGCCTTGTCCAAGCCAACCTTCGGTGGACTCCCATATGGACTCCGGAGTCGATAATTTTCGCTGCCATCCTGTTGCAGTTCAATTGTTAAAGATTGTTTTCTATAATAATTGATGTAGACAGCAGAAATAAAATGGGAATAGCATGATCTGCCATGCTTGAACACAGATATTATTTCATATATTTTGACTTCATCAAGGAAAAAATACTTTTATTTATTTTTATTTTGCTGCCACAAACCAGTATGTGATATAGAATGTACAGACCATAAAATACAACATGGGTATCATGGTTGCCAACTCAAGTTTGGTGGCCGTTCAAATCTTAAGCCAGAGGTTTCTCAGAAAAAAAGTCTTAAGCCAGTAGCATCAAACACAAAAATGGAAAAGATCAAAGTACATGAAGAGGAAGAGTTTGGGTTGATCAGTGCAGCCTGACCGGCACACAACAAGAGTGTTGAGAAGATGGATGAGCTGGGTGGATGGCGGGAAATACCTTGTGGACACTATCATTGCTACTGAAAGGAGAACTCAAGGGAGAGCTCCTTCTCGTATAAGTTCTTGGACTAGTTGTACCAGAGGAAAGCATATCACTTCTTGATTCTGTTCTCCATTTTCTTTGGTGACTACGTGATATCAGTGTTTTTAGCCCAGCAAACCACACTTCAGCTTCATCTTTATCTTTGCATATCTGTTTCTCATGACAAAACCAAATTACCAAATTGATTAGCTGGTGATATAGACTAACAAATGAATTTAGCATGCAACAAAGTTGGCAAACAAGCGAACATGTTACATCACACATGAATGACTGGCATGACTTACAATGTCCAATGATCTATCATGGGATATGAGAGAAAATGACTGGCATTCCTTCTCGGGTCGTGGATACCTCTGAAAAATCGCCTGTATCACAAAAAAAGTACTATATCAGGACAGCTTTGCAGCAATTCCGAATAGTAGAACCTCCTCGCTAAATATCTGAGTGCAGAAGATGATCTCGTAAGTGGACTTTGAGAAGTTTATTCAACTTAATTTTTGCAGGAAAGAATGATGTTATCTCTTCTTGCCATAAAGTTTTATCAATGTTGGATCATAAATGCTTTGTATCTATAGGAACTTCTTGTGAATTAGTGGAATCGAGCACAGTGAAAATAAATTAGCAGCAAGCTCTCTCTAAAACGAAGAAGAATCACATCATGGTAAAAGCTGAAGAAAGCCCCATGGAATATTCAGGAGCTAGCACCAGGAGTAAACGAGCAAAATGAAATATAGTTGCTTCAGCCAATATTATGAATCGTAACAGTAGAGCATGATATCCATCAATCTGTCTCCCAAAATTGGGTTTTGTTGAAATAGCAACTCACAGTTCGCTGTCCAGGAATTATTCTGGACACATGACTCAATCTTAGTTGCTTCTCCTCTTTCCCTGAGAACCAAATCAATATAGATTCATCCTGGAGGAGCAAAAAGAGTGCCAAAGATATTCATAAATGAGATGGGGCAAACATAAAGGACTTGAAAATTCTGTGATGAAGCAAATTAATAAGCTCACATTGGAAAGTCTGAAGGGACAAAATTTTGGCTTCCCTCTACGTCCATACTTCAGCAGGTATGCTCCTTTCTTGAGAGCAGTGATGGCCTGCGGTAAGAATGGGAACAAGGTTGTATCAAGCATCAGTAACTAGCATCTAAAAATACTATCCTGCCAAATAGTGGTAATTTTATAGTATGTCAAAGGAGAAGCCTTAAAACACCATTGAACAATCAAACGCGTTCAAATGTGCCCATTGACGTTTTCAATTTTAACTGGCATTTCAAGCGGTGCCATATAACATAGAAACGGAAAAGGAACGACAAATTATGGGACTGCAATATAAATCAATAAAGATTGAGAGAGGATCAGACTAGTATTCAAACTTCTCGATACACAATAGAACAGATAAACAATGAACATGGAAGGATGTGCCAAGATGTCATGTATCAATATATGCCACATGAACCAACAATTCCCACAAGAGATATGTGCTTTCAGTTGGTGAAAAAACACAAAATGCCATAGGGGAAATTTGGCTTCACTCGACTATGCATGAGCGTGTGCGTCATGGGATCAGAACAGCTGCATTTCGCATCCGTATTCTTCACTATGTCAGGCATATGGTCGGAGAATAAAGCAATCTCGATAAAGGGGCAAGGAATTTTACTAACCCCATCACGGGGCAATTATCTGTCAGTAATAAGAACATGGAATACAGTACTGATCCAACTCGCCATTGGCCCAACCTCTGAAAGGATACTCACGTAACAGAGCTCAATACTTTGCGCACAACAAAAATGAAGACACAAACAAGGTGGGGTGCAATTCTAACATACTACTCCCTGTTAGATCAAAAGAGCTGCCCATGAGCCAATTCGATGAGAAGCGTAGCAACTAGCAAGCAACCTAACAATCAGCTGCCAAAAAAGTGGCCACTGGCAAATCAATACCCCTTGAACATCTCCAACCCAAGACGCCAAAAGTTACAGCTCTGACTGTAGCACAGCTGAATCTCCATACTTAGTTCCCCCGAATTACGGGCCGTTCAATCGCCGGGGACAGCTGCGGCCACCGGCGATGCAGAATTGGCCACCACACGCAGGAGCACACAAACACACGGAGAACAGAAATGCATCTACATCCAACTATCCAGGCCTCCCGACCGCGCGAGAAGCGGGAATTCCACAGCGATTCGAGCGGGGGGGGATCGGGGCCGCTCACCTGCTCGATGTCGCGCTCCACGGGCCCGGCCCTGCCGCCGCCGAGATCCGACGAGGCGTCCGACATCATCGGCGTCAGCCCACGGCCCTCCTCATCGCGCCCCGCCCCCCCGGAGACCCGCCTCGACTCGCCCCCAACGCCTACGGCCTGCCTACGGCGGCCCGCGCCAATGGGGCCCGACTCGTCCCTCGGCTGGAGCACGCCCGAAGGAGGCCGCCGGAGAGGCGGCGAGGGTAGGCGGGAGCACGCGGGATCCAGGCGCGGGGAGGGGTTTGGGAGGGGAGGAAGCGGCTGGCGAGCTGGGGAGAGAGATCGAGAGGAAGTGGGGGAGGGCGAGGAATGGAGAGGGGAGGAAGGAGGGCGGAGGGGTGGTGTGGGAGGAGGAGGGGAGGCGTTATTTTTTTTTTCCTCCTTCACTTTTCTCGCCGAGGCCTTTTTCCCCGGAGCTGCTGGTGCTAGGTTTGTTACGCGTGCGGCTCTGCCGCTGCGCTCTGCGCTGTGTTGTGATTGCTCGCTAGCTAGCTGGGGCTGGGCTGGGCTGTTGTGCGGCCGTCTGCACTGTGCCTGGCTAGGCTACGGTGGTGGTGGTGAAGGTACGCGGGTACGGGGGAGGGGGGGGCACTGGCAGCACGGTGATTGGACGCCGTGGGGTTGAAATCCGTTGGCTGTGGAGCGCACGAGGACACTGACACTGCTAGGGGTCGTGCATGGGAGATTTTTAAAATTACTCACTTATCTGTATTCGGTAATGCCACATCTTTGATGTGATGGTTAAATGGTAGCACTACTTTGCCATGTAGCCCAGTTATGTGAGCCCAACAATGTTGTCATATTTGTAAGCGAAATTATGTTGTAGTACAAAGTGTCAACTTTGATGTAAAATAGAGTGTGGAGTGGTACATTTTCTAAAATGTGGTGCAAAACATCAACGCGTGGCGAAATGGATGGTCCAAACTGAAACTAACTCCCAGGTAAGGAAAAAAAGAGGTTTGTGACTCACAAGAATGAATTTCATATGAGCCTGGCAAATGTAAGTCATATATGGTTCAAAGAACATTGTAGGAAGAATTCCCAAGAAATAAGAATTGAAATGCTCCAAAACTATGACTCCCTCGGATCTAAAATAACTGTCGCAACTTTGAATTAAAGTTGAACTAACCTTAGTTCAAAGTTACGACACTTTTTTGGATCAGAGGGAGTAGCAATTTAGAAAAACAATAAGGTATATGGTGAACAGGGATAATTTACATGCACCCTCTTGAATGTTTTCGAACTCGCAAACGTGGAGCCATGCAGTTGCATAGCCAGGACAAACATACGACACACGTAGGCCTCCTTACTACAGTACAAACGGTGCCAACTGTGGTGGTTGTGGCTACAGTCAACAAAGGATTGCATGGTCACGCCCAAGCCAAGACCCATGTAGCATGGGGTGTGACTACGCCCTTGGATCAATATATGCCTCATCCCAGTCGTCTTTCATTCCTTCTCCTCCAATCTGAGTTATCAGGTTGATTAATCAGTGCATCAATGCCACTATTTATTATCTTATTGTGATGGCATTGTCCTCTCACTCTCTCACACTGGCACACTCACTTCTGTGTACGTTTTGTTGATATTCTTGTTAGTGCATTGCTAACGCACTAGGATGTTGTTACAAGCTTGGAGCCCTGGTTGTGGTTTTTAAGCTATGAATTAAAAAATTGGATTCCACTAAAAATCCGATGCTTGATTTTTTTTACCATGGCAAATTATGTTCCCTGAAGGATGGCAAATTTAGTTGGTGAGTGTGGCAAATCCAGCCCAATTAGTTTTTGCTATGCTTGCAAACTAAAATTTTCATCATCGCGCCAATATAAACTGCCATGAAAAACATCCCTAAAAATTAGATATCTGTTTTTAGTGTTTTTGATAAAAATTTGAATCCCATTGTCTTAGTTGTTTAATATAGTTTTTTGTAGAAAGCTCACACTTCCCAAATTGGAAGTTCAAAGTTTCTTAAGAGTGGTTTTTACATATCAAAAAACAAGGGAAGAAGTGAGAATTTGGAACAATTATCCGGTTGAAGGGTTATTTGTCGAGAAATTAACAATTTTACACATCTTGCTAAAACAACATGTGTGACAGGTTTCCAATGATCGGATGGAAGTTAGTATCATGAAGGGCAAGCATCTGATGGTTCATGTAACAACACCTAAGTGTGGCCCCATGATACGTTTCTGATGTATCTATAATTTTTTATTGTTTCTTGCTATTATATTGTCAATCTTATATGCTTTAAATGCAATTTGGTATCATTTTGGGGAACTAACCTGTTAACTCAGTGCCTAGTGCCCGCTGTAGTTTTCTGCATGTTTTTGGTTTTACAGAATATCCGTACCTAACGGAGTCCAAACACGATGAAACTTTCATGTAGATCACTGAATAAAAAGTGTATGATATAATAATATTGATGTCATAATATGAAAGGGTATTACTACATAATCATCAGTTTGTAGAAATATCAATATTAAAGCGTGTTATTAACTACTCATTTAAGTGTCGGTCATGGTATAGACGGGATGTTGGAGCGTTTGTATTCCTCGTTGAAATCCTTTGTGTTGCTTAAATCGGGGGCGCGCGATGGTTAACTCCTACCAACCTCCCTCCCAGGGGCATGCGAGTAGTACTTTCCTTCAACGTTAATAGACTTCACAACAAGTATTTGAGTTCTTTATGACTAATGTGAGTTTCAAGGTTGAAACCACTTCTAGCTATCCATATTTTGTTAGCCTCTTCGGTACCGTGCATTGCCCATTCTCACCTCAAACCTTGGTGCAAACTTCGTTGATGCATCCAAACCCCGTGATATGATACGCTCTATCACTCATAAGCCTCATTATATCCTTCCTCAAAACAACCACCATATATACCTACCTATTATGACATTTCCATAGTCATTCCGACATATATTGCCATACAATTTCCACCATACTATGCACATGACTTGTGTGTTCAGAGTCATATTGCTTTGCATGATCATGGAGCTGACATGATATTTGTGGCACATCCACCGTTCATCATTACAATATATGTTACGCTAGATCATTTCACATCCTGGTACACTGCCAGAGGCATTCATATATAGTCGTATTCTTTTCTGTTTTATCGAGTTGTGACTTGTAAGTAAATAAAAGCGTGATGATCATCATTATTAGAGTGTTGCCCCTACAAATGAGTAAAAGGATGGTGGAGACTAATGAGTCCTCAAAAAAGTGGGGATGAGGTCCATGAGACTGTTCTAAAAGAAGAGACAAAAGAAAAACAATGAGAGAAAAAAGAGAGAGGGGCACACTACTGTCCTTTGCCACACTTGTACTTCAAGGTAGCACCATGTTATTTATATAGAGAGTCTCTATGATTTCTCACATTCATATAGAGAGTCTTTTTGAGCAATTTGTAGAGTGGCAATGCCTTTTCTCCGAGGTGAGATATGAAGCGGCTCAAGGCTGCCACGCATCATGCCAGCTTCTGGACATGCTTGAGCTCTGTTGGTATTGCGAGCCGGGGCGACGCTCTAATTTTGGCCGGATTGGCACTACTGCAGGATGCTGCCAACGCGACACTACGATCAGAGGCCCTTCGAGAAACTATGTGCGATGCAATAATCGCAAATGGTGGTGTCAGAGAACCGTCTAAAATGTGCAAAACATTTGCGATGACAGATGCATCAAACACGGTTCGGATTTTAGTTGCGTGTGCGATGAAGGGCATATGGTTGATCCAGCATAACTGTTTGCGATGAGGAAGAACAACAGAAACGGGTAGCCATATCAATGTGTGTGCGATATACGGCATACAGTTCCCTCCGATGAACTATGTGCTATTAGGGAATGCAACAGAAACGGTCAGCCAAATCAAGTTGTGTGTGATATACGACATACGGTTCACTCGGACAAACTGTTTTCGATTAGGCAAGAGAATGGAAACGGTTCATCTTAACAAGATGTGTGTGATATGCGGCATTTGCGATCAGCCAAAAGAACACAAACGATTCATGTAAACCAGATATGTCTGATGCGCAGCAAACAGCCCATTAGGATGAACTGTTTGGGATGAGAAATTATAACACAGACCGTTACTATAGTAAGTTCGTGTTTGATTTTGTTCGTACAAAAAACTTTGAAAAATGCAAACTAGTTGTTTGCGGTGGCTAGGAGTATCGCGCATGATGCGTCTGCGAGTACTCGTGTGCGATGGTAAGTAAGTTACACATAATGAACGGCCGCAAGGGTGATATGCTGATCATGGAGTCCGAGAAGACCGTCGTCGGAAGGCCGCCGGCTCAGCTTTTTAGCCTATATTTTATTATAATTATATGCATAAGTAGGTCGTGAGTGTTTTGTGCCTTGCCGCATGTGGCATTTTAAATTATCCTAAATATGTAAGACAATTATTAACCGTTACCATTGTAAATTTGCCTCAATGGCGAGCAGAGCACGCGCAAGGACACCACGGACTCGCAAAAAAAGAAAAAAAACAGGGACGCCACGGCAAGCAACCACGTGGTCAACCTTCTGGCACCCCGTGGAAGACGCGACGGCGCATCCATAGGACACGTTGGTGATATCATGACCGTGTGTGATAGTGGGCAGACACATACACGTACATCCGAGAATAAGGGCCCACGTTTCGGCTTCTTATGCGTGGCATACGGTTGATCCAAAAGAACTGTTTGCGATGAGACGGAACAACAAAAAAGGGGCTTTGTGGGCCCAGAACCATCAATAAATTTTGACTTTGTTTCTTCTCACATTACAGATTACAACACAATAAGTAATTGCAAATCTGTTCACACAGATCAAACTAATATGTGTTCACACCGATCAAACTAATATGTGTTCACACTTAGCATCGGACTATAAAAACTACCCACTCGAAAATTACTTCATAGTTCCTCTCGTCATCACCTACAAAACTGGTCTTTCCTGTCAAGTCGTTCTGCCATGACCGGTAGGAGGAGTTTTGGGTGGGCATATAACCAGGAAGCAAAGACCAAGGCCGCGGAAGCATTAGAAAGGTCCCACCGC